GCTGTCGCACGTCACTTACGTGGCCTCGGCGACGTACTACTTTCAGCTGATTCAGGCCGGGGTGGTGGAGCGGTGCGCGAACCATTTCCACCCTCTCCGCCGCTCGATGGCCTCGGGTGGGGAGGGGGGCCACTCGCCGTGGTCCTGCACCCCGCTTTCCCCGCTTTCCCCTCATTTTCTGCCCCCGATGGAGACGTTCAGCCTTTCCGGCCTCCTCACGAGCATTCCGTTTCTGTCCTTCGTGTACGAGATGAAGTGGCGCTGGGCCTATCTCGGGGTCCTCCACGCCGCGACCCCGGGCGAGGGGCCAGACCCCGCGGACGCGGTGAAGATGTGGATCACGCCGGACCACATGCTCCACGCCCGCGTTCCCGGCGCCCTCGCCTCGCGGCTTTGTTGGTCCCTCGCGGAGCGGCCCGAGGTCCTCCTGGAGTGCCCACTTCGCCAGCTCACGAGCGAGGGCGCGGGGTACTGGCGGTATTGCGGGCTCGTCGACCGCGCGCACCCGCCGCCGCCGCCGACTTCCTCCGCGCCGATTGACCCCAAAGAGGTCTACGTCATGGGCCGGGATGTCCTGCCGTTCTTTGACGAGGGGGACGTCCTTCGCTTCGACGAGACCCGCCAGGCGTGGGGGGCCGATCGCGCCATCCCGCTCGAGGGCGTCGTGCTCATGGCGATGCGGCCGCACTGCAAACGCGCGCGCGGCTGCGGCCCGCAGGACCCCGGCTGGGTGACCCGCCTGATCCCCCTAGAGGGGGAATCCGAGGCCCTCGGCGGCCTTGCGATCCCCCTTCCCCCCCCCAAGCCGGAGCAGGCGGCCCTGATGGCGGCCAACCCAGGGCGTTATCAACTCGTCCATGAGGCGAGAAACCACTTTTACGTGTACCGCTTCCAACACAACGGGACGACGTACTACCACGGGACCGTCCCCGATTTCGCCAACCCCAAGAAAGCCCGGGTGTCCTGCCACGCCAGCGTCAACTCCCCCAGCGTCCGCTCCGTCTCGGAGCTCTCCACCTCGACCTTCGCCATCACCTCGGTCAACTTCAGCGGGACCTCGCACGAGCGCACGCGCTACCTGTCCTCCGGGACCTCCTCCGACTTCGCGCTTTCGCAGCCCGGCAAGGCGAGCACGCGCTCCTCGCGGCACGACCTCTCCCGCGAGCTCCCTTTCCACTCGCGCTTTCTGGACTCGCCCGGGGTTGAGTGCCGCGGGATGGAGGCCCCGGGCCGCGCCGCCGCGGGGGACTTCCGCTTCGCCTTTTCCCCCTGCCGGGGGCGGCGCAGCCCCCCCTTCGGCGACCCCCCGGGG